TGCAGCCCGACTTGTAACCACTACGCTACCAGAGCTCCATGTTAAAGATTAAGAGTATATAAACTTACTCTCTATGAATCTCTGGGCTGAAAGTGGAAGACTTAATAAAATGCTAAGTCTTATACTTCTTAAAAACTACTGCCATTGACTCATTTCTAACTCAGTCATTTCCAACCCTGTAGGACAGACCAGAACTGCCCTCATAGGGTTTCCAGGGCCATCATCTTTATGGAAGCAGATTGCTGTATCTTTCTATGGAAGAAAGGCTGATGCACCTATGTTGTTGCTATTAAGTACCGTTGAGTCAGTTCCAACTCAGTGACCTTGAGTGGAGTTTCCGAGGCTATATATCTTGTGGGAACAGAAAGCCTCGTCTTTCTCCCAAAATGCACCTGATAGTAGGATCCAATTTAATGATTTCTTTCCTAAATCTAAAAAGGCATGTGGATTGAATTCTGATAATTTCTTCAGGGATAACTAGTCTGTCCATTCATTCTGTGCTGTATACTTTATTCTAGATTATACTTGGTAAAGTGCTCTGTGACAAAATACTATGAAAACTGCTGACCTCTTGAGTGGTATGGGAGCATGTTGACTCTGTAGGATAGGTACTGGACTTCAAAAGCATTGGCCAGCAGTTTGAGCCCATTAGTCACTCCACAGGAGAAAGATGAGGCTTTATGCCTCCTCAAAGACTGACAGCCTCAGAAAGCCTATATGGGATCACTATCAATTGGAACTGACTCGGTGGTACTTAATAACAACAACATTGTGTGGTGTGGAGTATGAGAAAGAAAAGCTGAGTGAGATGCTGCAAGTGGGGAACAACATTGAAGGAGTGGCTCTGAGTCAAGGAAGAACCTGGGAAAGAGAAAGAAGACATCAGGGGTCAAGGGCCAAGAATAAGCAAGTTTTATCAAGATGTGTTAAAAACCTTTAAGCTAGATCTTTCAGGCTGGATGAGAGTTCAGCAAGGAGAGATGAGAGAGGAGAGGAAGAAAGCACTACTGAACGAGCAAATAGCAGGAACAAATGGAGCAAATGCAAGAGAGTGCAATGTGTGTTGGAATAACAAGAGGTGCAGGATGGATATTGTGTGGAATAAGACTGAAAAGTAGATCAGCAACCAAGTTTCTGAGACCTCACTTGTAGGCAATAGGGAGCCATTTTAAATTATTGAACAAGACAATGCCATGATTCAAGCTGTGATTTTAGGAAGCTTAATACAGGTACATCCAGAAGAACAAAGACATCTGTCTTTGGAGAACTACAGCTAGAATGCGCTTTAGAACCAAGAATGGCAAGAATTCACCTCTAGCACTTTAGACATGTTGTCAGGAAGGAACAGTCACTGGAGACGCACATCATACTTAACAAAATAGAAGGTCATCAAAAGAGAGGAAGACCTCCGATAAGACGGACTGACACAGTGACAGCATCAATAGGCTCAAATGTAACCGCAGTTGTGAGGATGGCAAAGGACAAGGCAGTGTTTCATTCTGTTGTGTCTAGGGTAGCTGTAAGTCAGAACTGACTTGATGGTACCTAACAGCAACAATCCAGGGGCAGTGCAAAAGAACTAGCTCAGGGACAATGGAAGGCAGGAAGACCACTGAGATTGTGTAGGTGGGAGAGGGTGATTCTGGTGACTAAAAAGCAGTACAGAAGGTTCAGCAGTGACTTAGATTTGGTTCCCAGGTTCTTGTGCCACTATTAGTACAAGGGAATGGTACTGAGGAATTGAAGGATGAAGATGGATAACAGACTCTCAGTGAGCCTGGGTCATATTGGTCATTGCTGAAAATCAAGGACAATAACACAGATAAAAATTCAGGCCTGGGAATATTGATGAAAACTCAGAATTATCTTTAGGAAGAGTAAAATCATTCCCAGAAGGAAGAACATATAGAGAAATGGGTAAAAGGGGAGAGAAGAAAAATGAAAGACATATTTTACCATCATATTCCACGAGCCAAGAGCCAGGCCAGGTGCATTTCCTAATTAGTTTGCTTTGTCTTCACATAAATTCTGAGACAGGTATTATTATCTAGATTTTCAGAGATGAGAAAACAGACTCAGAGAGGCTACATAATGTTCCCTCATAAAGACAGGGATTTTATGATCATCTGGCTCCAACATTCGAGATTATTCTGTTTTTCCTGTTGCTTTTCAGGGAAAGAATTTTTCTACTTAGGAATAGGGCAAGAATCATGGGTTTTTACCTAAAGGTAGAGAGGAATGAAGGAAGGAAGAAGTAAAAAATAAATGAACCAAATCAGTTGTCATGAGTCAATTCTGACTCATGGCAATGAAATGTCTGGCAGAGTGAGAACTGCGCTCCTTAGAGTTTTCAGTCACTGACTTGTTTTTGGTTTGGGGGGAAGTCAGTCACCAGCCAATTCTTTCAAGGCAACTGTGAGTGACCACAAATCTCCAATCCTTCGGTTAGAGCATTAACCACTTGTACCTCCCAGGGACTCCAGGAAGGAAGGTACTGTCACAGTTATTGAGGGTTTCCAGAAGATTTTGCAGGTAATAAGCACTTTAGTCTGAGACTGCAATCAAAGGAAGGAGGAAAAATCATTGAATGTGACAATTAAGATCCTGAGTCCCTATTTACAGAATTTCAAAGAGATCATGATAGAACGACTTATGAGTAGGGGCTTCCAGAAAAGTTATTCTAAATCTAAAATATGTTTAGCATCTGGTTTATTTCGGGCTACGTACAGCATTGAAATCATCCTGAAACTGCAGACCAGTATAGAAGATGTCACCTTTGTGCAAGGCATTGGTCCACGGGCACTGAGGAGGCAGTTTCTAAAGCATGTAAGCTTTGGCCTTTGCCCTGGGGGGAGCTTGCTGACTAGTTGGAGAGATGACAGGTAAATACACAGACATTTAAATATGATACAATTAGAATGCCCAGTGCAAATTTCAAGTACAAAATTTGTCATATGGCAATTGTACCAGTCATGAATTCCAGTGAGGAGTTTAGGTGCTGTAATTCAAGTAAGGTTTTACAGAGGAGATGAGATTTGAACTGAGCTATATTTAGACATTGGGTTTCTAACGGCAAAGTTAATGGTTCAAACCCATCAACTGTTCTGTGGAAAAAAGATGAGACTGTTCCCATAAAGATTTAGTCTTGGAAACTCTATGTAGGGTCACTATGACTCAGAAGCTGCTTAATAACAGTGAGTTTGGTTTGGATTTGGGTATAGCTTCTCAAAGGGGTCTTAGTGGCAGTGAGTTAAGCATCAGACTGGTAACTGAAATGTCACATGGAATCCACTGTCTCTCTGCAGGAAAAAGATGAGGCGGTCTGCCCCCATAAATGTTTACAGTCTTGGAGACTCTCTGAAGCAGTTCTACTCTGTCCAGTAGGGTCACTATGATGGGATGGACTCACGGGCAGTGGGTTTATTGCTGCTACAGAAGCCCTGGTAGCAAGCCCTGTTGCTGAAGCACTCAAAAGCTAACCAAAAGGTGGCAGTTCAAACCCACTAGCTTCTCTGAAGGATGAAGATATGGTGGTCTGCTTACCTAAGATTTACAGCCTTGGAAACCCTAAGGTGCAGCTGTACACTGTTCTACAGCATTGGTATGAGTCAGAATCAACTCAGAACAGCGGGTTAGGTTTGGCCTATAATTGCTACAGTGCAAACAGTTTCATCAGATTATCTGAAAACTAGCTCTCCAACTCTTCAGTTTAATGTCTATGGGAACAGTCTCACAGAATATTCATCACCAGTTACATGGGTACATCAATTAAGGTCAAAGGTGATAGATTGCTTAGAGACAGTCAGGTTTCATTTGTCACTCTTGGTATTTACGTCACATGCAGCACTGGTTGCACCTTCCAAATCCTAATGGTCTATATTGTTGTTATTGTTGTTGTTCTATAGTAGTGTGGAATCGTGACGCTGAGTTAAAGCTTTCAAAACTGTGCTTCTTTACTTTAAAGAAAAAAATTAATTTAGATAATGATTAAAACCACTGACAAACTGCTATAATTAAGTCCATGGGTTTTGGAGTCAGACATACTTAATTTAAATATCTGTTTTGCCTGTTTTGTTCAGTAACATGGGCAACTTACTTACACTTCATCTGTAAAATGTGGTTATAATGCTACTACTTAGAGAGTTATTATTCAGATTAAGGTGGCAATTTACACTGAATGCATTTCATATTACCTAACAGATAGTAACGTTTTAATAAGCCTAACAACTTTTAAAGCAATTCTTTACATGACAGTACCCCTCAGGGGTGTATATTTCAGCAATGTAGTGTGAATTTAATTAAAAAGGAAAGAGCCAGATTACTTCTGCTTCTTAAGGGACACATGTGGTACACATGGTTTAAATAGTTTGTTTTAAAATAAAGGTCCTATAGGTCAACCCTTTGGACTTAGTGTCCTTTTTATTCTGAATGTGTCTTGTCTTTCAACTGATTGCTGTAGGAACAGAACATAGTAAGATCATGGATATGAATGATGAGCACTGGAAATGTCCTCAGGAGCCATCCAGATTCACATTAGTTCATTATTAT